GACAATATTTTTGCAAGGCTAATCAACAAGTACTGACACACGGCATCAAGAGCACATCTACATACTGCACGTGTCTACTTCAAACTACCATTGAACACAAATGTTAGTTCTGAATGAAAAAAAAACACTACAAATGAAACAAACACTACAGTACAGCCGTTGTCACAAATCCTTTATTTACATGAATACGGTAATGAGGAAGTAAATTGACATGAGTGGCATCTAGTTGGGGAAACACAAAATTGTAAAACAGAACGGGATACAACATGATACAATTGGATACAAGGAGATACAAACTGGATACTGCGGGATAGAACAGGATTATAGGGGATACAATGGGATAGATACTGTAGGATACAAGGGATTACAAGGAGATACAACAAGATACAAGAATATACAACAGGATACATGGGGAAAGATACTACGGGATACAAGTCGATTCAACGGGGTAAAATGAGATTCAGTGGAATGCAACGGGATACAAGGGGAGAGAACAGGATTAATTGATCCAACAAGATTAAGGGGAGAGAACGAGATTATGTTCTATTTGTTAGCCGGTCGACTCACTTCAATACAATGTCTAGCACTACTTAGATATTAACTTGCACAAAACTTTTGACTCATTATAGTAGCCTACCATCCATTCATGTGTTCAGCGCTTGAGAGACACCGCCTCCCACGTGCATGCCCCCCCCCTCCTCCTTTGCTGATGTTGATGCATGAAGGCCCGATGAGCCATAACTACGGGTGATCATTCAACCGTGAATAACACATCCAAGTTGTTAGAGTCAAGTATTACGTGAATGGTTGTCAACAATCCATCTCGTATTTACATCAGTTGCTTGTAAAACCTACAAGGAATAAAGGGCACACATAAGGCAGTTTGTTTGGAGAAGAGGTAGGTGTTCGTTCATACTTAAAACTTTCAGTACAGGCGTACGTATTTGCAGCTTAGTATGAAACTAAAACGTAATAAACAGTATTTTTAAAAAAGAAATAGTGTTTCAATGACAACCAACAGCACATTTCTTCACAAAGTTTCAATTACTAATCGAAATGCTGTTGTATACTTTTAAATTAAAGAGTATATTATACCAACTAAAGTAAACAAACAAAGACAGGCGATTGTTTGTTTATATATTAATCAGATGGCTACCTAGACCTCATGGTTAGTCGCCAACCTATCGTGAATTGTTTTGATTTACTGTGCCGTAATGTGGTTGGTCAATCATATCAATGAATCTCTACCCATTCATTATATTTACTCGTATGACCTTATATAGAAATTTTACTTTCTAGAAAACAACGCTTAACTCATTTATTTTTAGAACAAAGAAAAACGTCACAACACCAGCGTGTACACTAGAATTTGGCCGATTGATGTACAGGTTTTTGTGCCTCGCGGGCAATAAAAGAATACGCGGTTGAAAAATATTTTTACAAGCTTTTACTTAACTCACTTCCTCGTCAGTCTGTCGTCAGTCTGTCGTCAGTGTGTCGTCAGTGTGAAAACCGAAAAGGTTGGAACATCCTTTTAAATTATATTAAATTTATATGTATAACGGAATAACAACCAACATACTTCATACTATATATGTGTATGTGAGTTATACATATTACTATATATTATTATACCTATACAACCTACGCACATTCATCTGAATGTTTACATTCGCTGGATAAATGGCACATTGTTCTATGTGAATTTATATCACATTCTTCCTACACATTTGTATCGCATTCTTCCTGCACATTTGTGTCACATTTCTCGAAGCTAATTTGTGTCACTTATTTCTCTGTCGGGGTCGGCGTGGTCGAGTCGGTAAAGCTCATGGTTGCTAAACCGAAAAGTCTCGAGTTCGAACCCCCGGGCAGATGAGGCTCGTTAGCTGGGGACAGCCACTCTTCTAGGAGAGACAACTCCAAAATTAAACAACTGCTGCCTTGTAGTTTGTTCTTGGTTGGACAAAGGCTATGGAAGCAAATCCAAAAAGAAAAGCAGGCTGAAATCGGAGTCAATGGCCTCAATTGGCGCATAACCAGTTGACACGTAACACTTAATTGTGTTGGAGGCGTGGTCGAGTCATCAAAAAGCTCGTGGTTGATAAATTCGAACAAAGTCTCGAGTTCAAACGCACTGGCAGATAAATCTCGATCCCCTTCAACACTAATAATTAAGAACGAAGAAGAAGAAGAAGATTTCTCTGTGAATACGACCCATCCAGACTAAACATAGAAACATAAACTTTATTTTGGAAATCAAACTCAATGATTTTAAAATTAAGAATACACAATAAAACTATACTTTCAAACAATAAAAGGTGTTTACTTTAAAGTCTTCAAACAAAAGTGTGAACTGTTAACACAAATGAAACACAAAACTCACAATAATAATCAATTTATTTAATGCTCATTTAGAGATGTATTTAAAAATTTGAGACAGTTGTGAAATCAGGGACTATGTGGTCGAGTGGCTTGTTAAACGACCTCTAACTCAAAAGACATGAGTTCGAAGTAAAGTCCGCTGGTTTAAATCTGGTCTTCTTATCACCCGATATATTTATCCGCATTTCATTTCGTTTTGTACTTTTTGTATAATACACAGCACACGATAGCATTTTCAAAACTATGGCCTACGGTTATGTTTTTTCAACAATGCATTATTGTTGTTTAGGTTATTTTGAATGATTATACAAAGTGGACCACTACAATGTTTATCTCTACCACTAGTTTTTAGATATGTTTCAACATTTATAAAAGTAGAACATTTGTATACCATTTTTGAACTCCATTTTTTTAAATTAAATTTTCCCACCTTATTGACTTAAGTAAAAATGTTCATGTAAATTATTCCTAAGCAAGAAACGAAATTCACAATCCCAATCAAAAATTCAGATGCAAAGCTAGAGCATTAATTAAGATATAAAACTCACACAAAGTGCGGACGATGTGGTCGAGTGGTAGGGCACACGATTGCTAACCCACTAGACACGGGTTCAAATCTCGGTAACTGTGAAGTGTCCAAAGAACCACGTCATAACTCCCCCTTTGTCAAATCAGTCTATTGTTGTACACAACACACACTATTTAGCTTTGGTACACTATAGTTCACTTTTTACAAGTATGAGTGTAAAAACATCAGACACCACTAGTTATGTTACCACGGGATTTGTTGTATTATAATGGAAGTAATTGACAAGTGTTTTTAAGGACAGCTTAAACCCCCTAATTTGACTTTTTTATAAATTAGCCTTACTTTACTTATTTTAAATCAAGTAGGATGGTGAAAATATCACAGAAAACACACTTTTTGCTTACAAATATTGTTTACTTTCATAAAAAAATTGTGGTATTAATTTTGGAGAAAACTACTTTGAAAAATAATTCTTGTGTACATCTCCGACAATTTTCAATATACTTGTACTAAATTTTGCACACATTTAACTGAAAGTTGGAGGAACAAATTGAACTAAAATAATAGCTGTATCTATTATAGATTTTTTTTAAACAGTTTTTTCCTGAACCCCACACTTGTTAATTTTCAGCCCTTTGACTAAAAATGTAAAAAAAACTAAATTTGATATGACAACTTAATTTGTTTTAGTTCATTATATTCTTAAGGGAATAAATAATGTTGGTGCTAAGTTTTATTTGAATATCTTCGTTAGTTTTTGCTATACTCTGACAAGAGCAAGTTTGTTTTTCATCAAATTTTAAGACCTAATTTATTGTAAATGAATGTATACAATACTTGCGAGCAAAAATTGGCTTTTCTTATGATTTCGTCATCACCCTACATTATTTAAGCTAGGTAAGTAGGTCTAATTACTAAACATCAATTAGGGGGTTTAAGATATTTCTATATCACATAAACCCTGTGATTCATCTCCGCCCTAATAAACCAGAAACAGTTTGCATAAGAAACGCAAATTGTCGTTTCAGATCGACGTATAATTAAAATACACAATTTTTAAAATAGTGTGTTATTATTTATGTTTTTCCTTTAGAATATAATACAACGCGTTCTCAATATAACTTTGCTTAGTTTTACCAAACTAAATGTACGTTGTTGCTTCCCATTAATTTATGTAAAATACATGAAAAACAATAAGTTTTGTTTTTAATTTTTTTTTTAAATCTCATGTCTCTTTATTTATAAATTAATTCAGTCGTACATAAAAAGAACGACTAATTGTTTTGGTGAATATTAAATGGGCTGACAATAAACATGGTTTCTCATCACACTGACAGCTATCGCAAGTTAACAAAAAAAAACCCATTCCTTACTTTAGTGTTGATCAATGTATGATCAGAGAAAACAAACAACCAAGGCTTCTTTAATGGAATGAACTGAATGTACGACACGGTGAATATCACAATAAAACTGATCCAACCACGAACAGCCAAACAATTATTGCATTTTTGGAACAAAGGATAAGGGTAGGGCACAAGTGATGGGTATACTAAGGTTAAGTTCAGAGAATAAGAAAATTATTTTACAGGCTAAACATGAGATAAAGACAACATTGATCTATACACACTAGATATAAAACAGCGGCAACTATCTATAGAGAGACAATTTTGAAGAATGAATAATTGAGAATTCTAAGTTCTTACCAAACATAAAAATTTATATTTTCTAATGCCAAGGAACATGAATTTGATATTTCTGTAATGATCTGTTGAAATGATTTTTACAGATTAATATCCAGATTATGTGAAAGGTAAAAAAAATAATTATATAAATAAACAATACTTCCTCCTTTCATTCATTACACTCACAAACACAAATTGGTCATTTTAAACGTCTCTTTATGATTTACTTTAATTAGAGTTGCAGCCAAAATAAAAACTTAGATACCAGTGGAAATGTTTCTATTTTTTGCAATATAACTATCTAATGGCATAGTTTTCTACATTTTATCTTGTACTAAAATACATACTCTGGAAAAAAATTGGCTAAAATATCTAACATTCAAAAGCTAAGAGGATACACACTATAAAAACATTTATTCTGTAGAAATAATTCTACTTATTCACTGAAAACTAATATTTTATTTTAGAAGTTGGACATTTATATACCATAATTATTAAAACATTTGCTGGTGACTAACATAAAAATGACAAATGTATAATCAGCTTCTAATTGCACACAATACCTAACGCACTAATGGTGTCTGTTTCAGTTGCAACAAGATAGACCTGAACCTAGATACATCTTTAGTGTTCTTTGAGTTCTTTGGGTTAAATTCACAAAGGCGGGTTATTTTCTCCCATGCTTGACCGGTGACCTTTTCATCACGATCCTTGACAAATGCAGTTTCAGCAGCCCTGTTGTTCTCTTTTGTTTTCTCCAACTGTTCCGTGTGATGTTTGTACCAGTCATCAAGCTCTTTCTTTGCTTTCTCTTTCAATTCTTTTTTACGCTTTGCTTCTTCAGAGTCTTTTTTCTCCAGTCTTGTCTTTTGTTCTTCACGCCAGATTTTTATTTTCTCTGGAACTGCTCTTATGGTATCTTGCTGGGATATTGCCTCATACATGTTACTTGGCCCATTACTCTGAGCCACTGTTACTTGTTCTTGATTTTGCGCAAACCCATCAAAGTCTTGTGTGAACTGTTGCCCTTCGCCAAAGTTATCATCCTCCAGACCGGCTAACTCCGACTGTTCTCTTGCTAAAAAGTCAGCAGCAGGGTCTACCTCAAGAATAAGTTTTTTTTTTTTTTTTTTGGCAGTAAAATTAATTTAATACATATATTTTTAATATTAAACACTATAGCTTTCAAAAATGTTGTTCTATAATAATTCAGTCTGCATTAACCTCTAACTACTTTGAGTAAATAGATTGAAAATAGTAAACCTGTTATTTTAAAATAAATATACAAAATCTTGTATTACTCAAAGCTAGCAAACAGAATATTATTCATCCTGATCTTTTTTTTTCTTTTATTTGTTTGATAGTTTTACACAGCATTAAAGATATGAACATTAATTGCATATATAATAATCAAAGAGAGAAAATAAAATGGCAAAAGACTAGACTAAAATAAGGTGTGCACTCGGTTTCTCTTGACTGCTTAGTTTACTGTTCTCAGTCCTTAGCTGTGGAGTCAAAAGTTCACATTGTAGACACCCATGGACAGAAATAGAAACGACCGTGGGAGAAGTGTCTCTGTAATACTCAAACTGATCTATCATTCCAAAAATGTCCATGACATTAAATTGAACCTTGGCGATGAAGGCATGCTACCTTGAAATATCCGCCTGTGCCAGGGGTCGGCAACCTTTTGAGACGGAAGAGCCAAAAGTTACAATTTTCAAAATTTCCCAGCTTTTAAAGAGCCACTAACATTTTTATTTTAATATTATGATCTTTGATTAGGATATATATATATATATATATATATATATATATATATATATATATATATATATATATATATATATATATATATATATAGCAATGTATGTAAGTGTGTGTGTGTGTCTGTCTGTCTTTTATTCATTAGGACACCTTTCATCCGATCGCCATGAAACTTTAGGAAGCTGTTGAGAATACTCATGGGAAGATATTTGCGAAAATAAAATGTCGAATTCGCAAATAGAATAGCGAGTGTTTATTGTTTATATTTATTATTATATCTTTCATTACCGAGTGTGCAGGCTAATATTTTTTATTAGTTTCAAGAAAAAAATAAAATAATCTATTTATATAATTCTCTTCTGGGAGCCGCTAGAAAACAAGCTGCAAGCGCGCCTAACAGTCCCCTCTCTTCCTCTCTATCACTACCACCCCCACCCCCTCACATGGCCTGGTGAGCTGTGGTTCACGCTGTTTAAATTTTACAATAATAGAGACGGGTTTGGTGACGGCTATTATATTAGGGGCAGATAATTTAGTTTGAAACGATTTTAAACTTAGAGGAGGTAACTAAGAGGAGGCTGCTTCACGGGGGGGGGGGGGGGGGGGGGGGAAAGGGGGTTTAGTGTTTTCAAGCAAATTTTTTCAGTGGCAGCATTGGTACTGTCGAATTCACAAATTATAAATGACTGAAAAGTAGAAAAAAAAACAACATCTAAATAGCGGCGTATGATACGCAGTGGGTCGGCTCGTTATTAATATTTGTCCATGGAACTGAAGAGCCGCACCTCGACATCAAAAGAGCCGCATGCGGCTCGCGAGCCGCAGGTTGCCGACCCCTGGCCTGTGCGGTTGAGGTGGGGGGGGGGGGGGTATCTGATCTATTAAAAATATTTTGTAAGAAAAAGTGGCATTTACAGTCATTGATTATGATGCTGTCGGCCTATACTAATTCCTAAAATATTCTTTAAAAAATACCAGTTTTTATTTTAGCATTTATTAAAGTACTAAATTAAATCTTAATTAAATAAAAACAAAAATTAACTACACAAATATATTATATTAAAAATTAAGAAATAATTAATCTGGTGGAATTGGATGAACTAGGGGTGAAAATTAAAAGTGCTTGCTTAAATATAGTGTATTAAGGGACGGACTATCTCCCTTTATGAAGTTCATTTGTCTTAAATCTTTTTAAAAGATTTTATTTAACTTGCTTCCTCTGTCTGTCGTGCTTTTGTCGTCATAGATCGAAACGGCCGAGCACTTTAAACAGACCTATTCGTTTCAAAGTCGGCAAGTGGGTGAAGACTGTCTTCCTAAATATTAGTAAACCTACCCAAAAGATTATATAGTGACCAAAGCTTTTCTTTATTGTTATTTCATTTGTAGTGTATTATTATATATTTAAATACAATCATTTATTTTCTCCTTTCTAGTGCATTAAAAGCTTGCTTTAAAACGTTTTTTTATTTATTTTTCATTACTTCATTACGGCAAATATATATATATATATATATATATATATATATATATATATATATATATATATATATATATATATATATATATATATATATATATTTAACGACTATAAAACAGGTAAAAGATATAAGTAAAAGATATAATTCTCTGCCTTCTATCAAATATTGAGTAATTTCCGTTGACCGGAAGTAGTAACTTACGCTATTTCCGATTCCTCAAAAAAAACGCATGTGAATTTATAAAGTACTAATAATATCCCGCACTATTATGCACATTTTGTTTGGAGTTCACTTGGTGTGCAATTCCTTTTTCTACGTGATTCTATTCTATTATAAACAGTAATTAAAAATTGATTAAAAATAATTATTGTCTATATCCCAAGTTGCCATCCTCCGTAGTGTTATATAAGAATTTTCGAGAAAGTTCAGGGGAGATCACTCCAGATTTACTTTTTCTCTACAACAACAACAGAATTCTATTATTCCGAGACATAACATATAACGCAAGGAAGCTTTATACCAAATTTTAAGGACTTATGGTTTCAAAAAATTGTTTACAAAAAAAATTCAAAAATTCAAAATATAATAAAATATTAACAAAATAATTTTTTGAAACTTTGTTGCCATACACATATCCTACAATTTATATACTGTATTATACCAAAAGAAACGTTACTACTGCTGTAAAATTTTGACATGTGTATGTCAAATAATTTTTTTTGGTGATAGTTGCTGTTTCCCTCCCTTAGTCTGGGTGATACTGCCCCCTTAAAAGATGATACAAAGTGGCCTACGACAAAATTTCTCTCTGCTACTTCGGCCCATAATGCAATATAAAAAGAGTTTGAAGATATGTTTCAACATTTTTAAAAGTAGACCTTTTGACATTTGTATACTTTTTTTCAACTTCATTTTTCTTTTACAAAATGTTCAAACGTTACAATCTTTGGTTAAAATGTTCATGTAAATTATTCCTAAGCAAGAAACGAAATTCACAATCCCAATCAACAATTCTGATGCAAAGCTAGAGCATTAATTAAGATACAAAACACATTCAAATTGCGGACTGTGTGGTCGAGTGGTAGGGCACACGATTGCTAACCCACTAGACACGGGTTCAAATCTACGTGTTCTAGTCAGTAACGTGTTCACACAACCACGCCATAACCCGCCCTTGTAAAAACAATCAATTGAGGTACACGACACCCAAAAATGTTTTAGGTAATGTTGCATTAAGTTTGTTTTTGTTTAACATGTATGCGTGTTCTTGATATAATGTGTTTTAATTAGGATTGTATTGCTATAAATTTTAATAAGGAAGATCACGGAGAAACTCTACTTCATCTCTTCTTTAATTTTGAGCCTGAAATAATTTCTCTCTGCTACTACGGCGCCTTATGCAATATAGAAAGAGTTTGAATATATGTTTAAGCATTTTTAAAAGAGAAACACGTATATTCTATTTTTCAACACCATTTTTTAATAAAATGTTCTAACCGTACAATCTTTTAAATAAAAATGTAGATGTAAATTATTCGTAAACAAGAAACAAAACTCACAATCGCAATGAAAATGTATGAAACAAAGCTAGAGCATTAAATAAGACATAAAACACATCCAAATTGCGGACGATGTGGTCGAGTGGTAGGGCACACGCATGCTAACCCACTAGACACGGGTTCAAATCTACGTGTTCTAGTCAGTAACGTGTTCACACAACCAAGCCTAAACCCGCCCCCTTGAAAAAAACAATCAATTAAGGTACACGACACCCAATAATATTTGTAGTAGAGTTTTAGTAGACATTTTTTCTGATCGAGTTATAATTAAACTTTATATCTTACGCAATTTTTATTCTTTAATATATTTTTCTGTTGTAACTTAATTCGGTTCACGACTATATTCATCTCGTCAAATTTCTTACATTTCTCTCTGCGGATTTGAAGCACAATTCTCTCTACGTACTTGTAGTTCATTTCTCTCTACATTTGTAGCACATTTGACTCCATGAATTTGTGTTACTTTTAACTCATTGTCGTATTACTAAATGCATATTAAACAATCGGTAATTTTTTTTTAGGTTGGTCTTATAAAATATAAAACAATGCGACCCACTACAATTTGAATGTCTAAAAATGGCAACATTTTTCTCTACCAATTTATTTCACATCACTCCATGCTTGTTTGTGTAACATTTCTCTCTGTGAATTTGTGTCACGACCTTTTTACTTTTTCGTGTATACGAAGTATAGAGAAAGTATTGTAATCGTGCACAAAAATCACATTAAATTTGGACAGTTTTCACCGTTTTACTCCTCAGTCCTTCATCACATCCGGGATATAGAAGACTTATTTTAATCAGGCAAAAATTATGAACTCAGATATATAAAAATTTTGGCGTTTTATGCGTAATGGAGTTGGAAAAACTGGATTATCCAATTCTGTCCGTGTGTGTGTCCGTGTGTAAACACGATAACTTGAGTACCGTTACAGCTAGGTTGATGAAATTTCATATATATGTATTTTATCAAAATCGTAGATAGGTATCAACTTTTGAGCGATTTCCGATAACCGAAAGTAGTACTTTTTCTACTTTGAATTTTTCAAAAGCCTATAACTTGAGTACTATTTCAGATAGATAAATGAAATTTCACATGTAAGTAAAAGATCTAATTCTCTACTTTCTGTTAAATTTTGAGTAATTTCCGTTGACCGGAAGTAGTAATTTACGCTACTTCCGATTTCTCAAAAAACGAATGTAAATGTTTAAAGTACTAATAATATTGCGCACTATTATGCACTTTTTTATTTCGCGTTCACTCGGTGTGCCACTCTTTTGTCTACGAGATTTTATT